CACTGTCTGAGATGGCTATTTAGCCTGCCCATGCACCACTGACCTTAACCTTTCAGTAATTGGAGTAGAATTGGGCAGGGAGCAGGACGAGTTCATTGCAAAACTTTGGGGCCCGTGTTTGCACATTATTTCAGTCCACATTTAAAAATCTAACGTTTTCATAAGGAAAACCTTATGAAAAAAATACGTATTGCTGGCCTGGGACCAAACAGCCTGTGAGCCAATAAAAAGGTAATTGAATAGGAGAAGCTACCAGCTGTTCAATGGAACGTTTGGCAACAATGAAAGGGAAACCTGTTTACCAGGAGGGCCGCTAGCAGGTGCTTGTAGTTAGTTTCTCTTTGTGCCAAGGCTTCAAGGTGTTTTTTTTCTTTGCTGTTGCCTCACCCTAAACAATTCTTTCAATAGGCCTGTGCTCAGATTTGTTGTCTGTGAAAGAGGTTTTGAGATTTAATAAAGCTTTGTGCTCAGATCCTCTTGTTTCAAAGGCATTTTTAGCTGTGGCCAAACTTGAACAGTTACATTGGCAAACAGCCCCTGGCGGCACAGGATGATTTTCTTTTATTGATCACTTTTGTGTTTTGGAACTTGCTGTAGTTTCAGACAAGCAGTGATATATCCATGTATTACATGCATTGGAATAGGAGTTAAATGATGATAGTGATGTACAGGATTGCCCTCCTGCTTGTAAAGTCTATTTCCTGTGAAGACTAATTAGAACTGGGAGTTCTTAGGGCAAGTGGAAAACTAGGTGGTTTATGAAAAATAGGTAAATTAACCCTTAGATGTTGTAAGCTACATGTGGTATATATTTTCTTTCTTTCTTTTTTTTTTTTAGGACACAAAGTTTTCTTTAACTATCTTTTGGGGGGAAGGGACACAACACTTCTACCCAATTAAGAGAAACATCTTTATCAGCACAGAGGGTTTTTTTGTTTGTTTGTTTGTTTTTAAACACTTATCATGCCATGAATTCATAGGAAATGGGTTCCAGCAGCTCAGGTTCCTTTCCACTGGCTCTCACAAAGTGTGCTTCTCTGGGTGGAGCAGGCTGATGTTTCAATTGAGCCCTTGACTCTTCAGGTACCTTTCTCTTTGGCTTCCTTTTTTTTCTGATCATTTTCCTCCACACATTATTGGGAAGGCCATCTCGGCTCTTAGAGTGCTTAATATGCTCAATACGTATATTCATTCTCTTGGCAAGAATCTTGTCCTTAACTTGTTTGTTCACAACAATGCCCACCGCATGCTGGGTGACACTGTAGACTCTTCCAGTTTCGCCATGGTAACATTTGTGGGGCATTCCTTTTTGGACAGTGCCCATTTCCTTGATGTCTACAACATCACCTTTCTTGTAGATGCGCATGTATGTGGCCAAAGGAACAACTCCATGTTTTCTAAAAGGCCTAGAGAACATGTAGCGGGTGTCTCTCCTCTTTCCCTTTGTGTTGGTCATTTTGGCAGATTACCGGAAGATGGCGGTCCCAGCCGAGAGGAAGCTATATTTGCATTTTGAGGGGAAAGTATCTTAGGCTTCTATCAGATTCTGAAAGCATCTAATATTATCATAATGTTTAAGAAATACTATGTACGGTGCATAGTTTTTCTCAGTCATGTAGAACATGTGTTCTTTTAAAGAGGTTCTTTTCATTAAAAGTTTGATTTTAGGATAACTACTTTTATGTCTCATTACATAACTTTTTATTACAATAGTATTACATGTACACTGTAGACGGTTAGAAAAATCAGATAACCAGCTCGGCCAGTGTTGCTCAGTTGGTTAAGTGTTGTGCTATGCACCAAGAGGTCACTGGTTCTGTTCCCTGTCAGCGCACACGCCCAGCTTGGGGCTGGATCCCCAGTAGGGGGCGTGCAGGAGGCAGCCAATCGATGTTTCTCCCTCATAGATGTTTCTATCTCTTTCTCTCTCTCCCTTCCTCTCTCTCTAAAATCAATAAAAACATATTTAAAAAAAGAAAGGAAAGAAAAAACAGACAGAAGAAAATATAAACCATCCTCAGTTACTTAGAGATGTATTCTACAACCACGTTGGTGAATAACCTTCCAAACTTTTTCTTTTTTTTTGTTAATTCTCACCTGAGGCTATTTTTTCCATTGATTTTTAGAGAGAGTGGAAGGGAGGAAGGGACAGAAGGAGGAGGAGGAGGAGGAGGAGTGAGAGAGAAAGAGGAACATCAATGTGATGTGGAGAGACATATTGATTGGTTGCCTCTCACACAAGCCTGGGCCGGAGCAGGGATGGAACCTGCAACCAAGGTACGTGCCCTTGACAGGGAATCAAACCTGCAACCCTTTGGTGCATGAGTGGACGCTCTAACCCCTGAGCCACACCATCCAGGGCCTTTTTATACTTTTTCTATGCAGGTTAATAGATTCAACTATATGCACCCAAGGAAAATATTGAACTCTAGGTGACAAACATTAATATTCCAAATATATAAAGAGCTCTTAGAGATTACTGAAGTGACAGAAACTCCCATAAAAAATTGTCAGGAAAATAGGAAGAAATGCAAGCAGTCAATAAATACATAAAATAGTCACTCTCAAAATTTAAGAAAAACAAATTAAAACAAGATGTTTCTCATGTATCAGATGGCAAAAATTATAAAGAATAATACTAGTCAGTGTTAGTAAGTTTTCTTGGAAATAAATAAATACAGCCTTTCTGTTGGATAATTTGGAAATCATGTGCTTAATAGTGCTGTTTCTTTCCATTCACAACCCTTTAATTTTTCCATTACGTTGCCCATTCTTTGAAACTCCCGTAGGCACACTAAACACAGTGTATAGTTTATCTTAGGCTTGCTTCTATTGGAGTCATAAAAGCATCTCTGAATTTGCCCTTTAGAAAATTAATTCTTTTAGGGAAAGAAGTATCATATCTTTTCTATTATAAAGAATGCCTCTTGACTTCACGCAAACACTGTATAAACATTAACTAAAGCAGTCTAGATCAGTGATTCTCAACAGTGAAACAAGGTGGCACTCATAATGAATGGGGAGGAATGGCTCTGGCTGGATAGGGGCCAGGGATCCTGCCATGCAGGGGATATCCATGTAGGTGAAAAATCTACCTGTTTGTTATTATCTGAGCCTGAAATCTAACTCCATCATAAATATAAATACGGTGTATTTTTAGCATGGCTTTAAAAGACACAGAACATTCCTGGTTTGCAATTACTGGGTAAAGTGAAGGAAGAATGTTTTTTGTTCTGAACTTTACCAACCATTGTTCACATTTCAGAACAACAAGTTACCAGTGGCAACCTCTCTTTCTTCTTTCTCTCTCTCTCTGTAGTCACCAATACAGCACACCTATACTTATATTTGTGGAAGTCACAGGTGGTTCAAGATAAAGATGCAGGTATCGGACTACTTCATATATCTCCTAGTTACCTAGTGTAGTTGTGCCCAAACACACATTGAAATACATATATTATAAATTACTTTCCTTTTATTTTTATCCTAAATTACAATTAGGTCATTACATTTATTTTTAAATTGAGATATAATTCACATAACTGTAAAATTCACACCTTAAAGTGTACGATTCAGTGGATTTTATTATATTCACAAAGTTGTGCAATCATAACCACTACATAAAATTCTAGAACATTTTCATCAGCCCCCTCCCGCAAAGAAATCTGGTACGCATTAACTCCATTCTCCCTTTCTCCAGCCTCTGGCAACCATTCATCTACTTTCTGTCTGTCTGTATTTGCCTATTCTAGACATTTCATATAAATGAGATCATATAATAGCTGTCCTTTCGTGTCCATGTTTTAAAGGTTCTTCCATGTTATAGCATGTATCAGTACCACATTCCTTTTTATGGGTGAATAATATATTGAGTTTTTGAAATTATATGGGTAGGCAGTTATATTATCTACGCATGTCATTTCAGGACAGTAAAGGTATTGACAAAGTATCTGTTATGGAAAGAAGCATTGGATCAGAGCCGCTGATCTAGCTGGGAACACTAGTAACATGTATATAAAAAGGCAACTAACACTCCACGCAAACACAGTAAGTCATCAGGGGATAGTTAAATTTTCTTGGACAAAAGGTGGACAGGTAAGAATTAGGCAGAGATTAGATCTGAGCGATAGACCGTATTCCGTTAGAGGATTGGCCAGGTCTGGAATGAGACGCAGCAACCCAAAAATTAAACTGCCACTTTAGTAGGATGCTACCCCATCTCAAGCGTTCTTTCCTTTGAATGGGCCCTGGAGTGATGAAGGAAATCAGTGCAAGCAAAGTGACCCTTCTGGAACTGAACAGATAGCTCAGAGGTGGCCACCTAAGAGGCTGGGTTTTGCAGAGCAAAGCTGGCAGCCGCCAGCGGGAGCCC